GAGAGAGAGAGAGAGAGAGAGAGAGAGAGAGAGAGAGAGAGAGAAGAGGGAGGGGGTCAGCTGCCGTAGGACGCGTGGGACCTGACATTGGGAGGGACTGCAGATGCCTTTTGCGTAGGCATGCGCGCGAGAGGGAGAGAGAGAGAGAGGGAGAGAGAGAGAGAGGGAGAGAGAGAGAGAGAGAGAGAGAGAGAGCGAAGTATGACATTTTCCTCTTGCTCGCCTGTTCTACTCGTTCCCACTTGCTCTCTCACTGAAACTCATGCCTCATGTTCTTGCTGTTTCACAGGCGCTGCTGACGCTGTCGCTGTACTTAGAGCCCGCTCCGCGCCTGTCGCCTTGTCGCGTGTCGTCGCCAGCCTTGCAGACTGACAGCCTACGCCGTGTGCTGCTGCTTCCCGGACGGTCTGTATTTTATATCATTTTTCTCCGAAACTCTCGCCGCCCGCTCCCCGCTCCGCCATCGAGCTCGTCGCCGTGCTCAACCAGCAACGCCAGCGAGGGCGGCGGCTCGACGCCTTTTTCGTCGCGCCCTTGGGTCTCCGAAGCACGCCACCGCGGGGTCTTTGCGAACGGGGGCAGTGACAACGACGACGACGAGGAGGTGGACGAGAGTGCCGCTGGGCTGGAGGAGGAGAGGAGGAGGCTTTGAGCCGCGCGGCCAGGCCTGCCCTGCCGCCAGGCCGCCAAGGCCTAGAGGGCCGCGATCACCGCGCTAAGTGTCCGCTGACACGCGCGCGCGCACGCGACACCGAAAAGTGAATGACTCCCGGAGAATGCTTGCCCCCCCCCCCACCCGCCTCCGGTGGCAAAGTAAATATGAAGGCCCAACGCTTTTGCCCTTTCCTATTGGGTTACTCGTGTAGTAGCAATTGCACTGCGCAGCCCGCCCGACCGCGATGGTGACATCGCTTCTAACCCAAAAAATGTTCTATGTATCGAAATCTCTGAACGACGTGTTCAATCGGCCTGCTTTGCTTCTAAGCAGGTTTATGGGATGAAATAAAAATTAATTTTATAAGCGGCCAACGCCGTCTTCCTTTCCTTATGGGCTGCGTGCCGCTCGCGCCGTGCGGCTCGGGGTCAGCCTGTGGACCGCGGCGTAGGCAACCCAGCGCGCGCGGCCGCGTCGTGTTGCCTACCTCCCAGGCTGCCTCCTCGCGCCCTCGCTGCTGACGCTGCCGCTACACTGAAAATTGGTTGGCATCTTATGAAGCCAAAATATTGGCCTCCTCTGATGAGCGCCAAAATTTTGGCGTCTGTTGACGCCAGGTATTGGCGCCCTTTTGGACGGGAAATTTTGGCGTCATGGCCAGCCAGTTTACAGTGCTGCCATTGCCTGACAACTCCGCGACCCTAATTGCTTATTGACGGGGACGGGCCTTACGAGTTCGGCGCCGACCCGACCGCCCTCTCTCAACTGCGCACCGGTGGCTCATTAGGGAACGAGGCGGTAGAATCGCTGAATGAAGTCGCGGCTCCTGGCAGGTCTGACAAGCAAGACAGGTAGCTGCGGCGCCGAGCGAAGGGCCAAGCGGCGAGCGAGTCGGAGGGGGGTGAGGGGCTAGCTAGGGCCCCACCGCGGCTCTCCGGCCTGGCCAGGGGGGCTGCAAGGGGGCCGCCGCAGGGGCACAGGGCTCGGCTGTGTGGGGGGGCCCTGCGCGGGGTTGGCTCCCCGTGACGTCATCCGGGCAGCGAGCCCGCCAAATTCAAACCGCGCGCGACCGCCGCGCGTGCTCCACGCCGCGCCCGTGGCATGCCAAAACAATGATGTTGGAAGGGCGTGGGGACGCGAGCTGCGCAAAGTATCCGGCTGTCTTGGGGGTAGAGCGATGCAGAAAACAGCTCAATCGAATTAAACACGAAATGCTTTCACACCTTTTGAAAAATATTTAAAAAATGACGTAACAGATAAGCAGCTTTTCCAAAACAACAAGGATTATTGCGGGTGTTTTTGCATCGAGCGAGCGGCTGCAGGCTGACTCCTGCGACCTGTCAGTCGAACACGTTTCGGTTAGCCTGTCCTCAGCGTGGACGTTTGTTTGGACTTTCGTCGACCTGGCGACGCAGCACTCCCCAGCACTCTGTGGCACTCACTCACCTGCTGCGGGGTGAGTCTGTCGTTGAGCGGGTGGCACTCGGTGCACGCGCTGGGCGGCGGGTGTCGGAGCGGTGCGCGTTTGGTTGTTCGGCAGGCACTCGTTGGGCTCGGCCCTTTGCTCTCGGTTCGGCTCGGCTCGGAGCTCGGCTCGCTTCGGGGACTGCTGGCCCGGTTCTGGCGCGCCTCCCCACGCTCGAGCCCCTCGCGCGGCCAGGCCGAGGGCCAGGCGAGCGAGCGGCGGGGTGGTTTGGGCGGCGTCGCCCGCCCGACGCTCTCCGGGCCCGGCCGCCGCCCCCGGATCTTTCGCAGCGTCGCATATCGCTCCCCTCACGTTGCTCGGTGGTTCCATCGTGGGCGCGGGCAACGTTTTCTGCTTGGTTACGGACCGTCATCGCACCCCCTTGTACCAACGTACCATTCTACACAACTATCTGCGACATTTTCGAATAAACATATTATAGGAGTTGCTGCAGTTGGAGCGCCAGGTCGGGCCGCGTAGCGATCGGGCGCGCCGCCGCCCCATGACCGCGACGCCAGCACCCCCCACCCCTCGCGCGCCCCGGCTCAGCCCTCCATTCACCACCATTCCCTTCCCCACGCTGGCGTGGTGGTG